TATTTTTGCCAATTTAAGAAACTGTTTCACTCGATCCCACTTCTGAAGCTCTTAGCAAGGTCGTAAAATGCTCCATTCGAACGATCTGTCGTTCGTTACTATACTCCTTCCTTGCTTCCCATTAATTTCCTACTTGTGGTGCGATTTATTCTATACTATTGTCTCTTTTTCCTCTTAATAGGGTAGATTTTCATTTTCGACGATTCTGTTTATCGAGTTACATTATCGCCAAATTACTGCAACAAGAAAATTCCAAGATAATTCATCCTACTATTAACAGCGAATATATTTCTTCCTTTTTTTTTTTTTTTTCTTAATATTTCCTTCTCTTCCTTGGTTTTATCTTTTAAGCAACAGTGTATTCCTATTTTCTGCTCATCTATTACAAACTTTTAGTTAGTTTACTCGCAGCTATAAAATATATCAGGCTTACCCCTTAGTGCATCCGCCGTTGTTGCCAGAAGACCTTGCAAACTTCTGCTGTGGTGATGGATCAAGTCGTGAAAATCTGCTCTCGCTCGATGTCTTAACTGTTCTTCGGTCTCCCGGTTGCAGCACACACCATTACATGTAGCTGCAATCAAATTTACATTTTCACCTTACTTTACAATTCATTCAATACGAACAATATAGAATCTGAATAACGATATTATTTTTTCGATTGTTCCATTAGCACGGAATACTTTTACAATAGAGTGCACATTGATACAATTATTATCGATGATATAACAACTTACATAACCTGCATAACATTGTACACTTACATACATAAAATAGATACATGTACGTATTTGAATAATAAACAGTAATATAAAATGAGAAAATTTTGCTGAAATTTTTATTCTAATATCATTTACTCAAATTCTTATTATTTAAGTTTTACTTTCGATATAATGGAAATCGCTGAAAATTTTCTTCGAACGTTCAATACCGAACATTTTATCTTGCATAATTTTCTTTAATACGTATTTCGTAAAATTCGATTTTCTAACCTATAGAAAATACCACGACTTACACTAACGATAATTACTCCATCCAGGCAAGTAAGTAGAGTTCGCTGCCTACGAGGAACACATAGCAAGAACACATAACCGGTCGTTCAACCTACCAACGTTAATCAATGGAGTAGAAGTAAAAAACGATTTTAACAATCGCTCGACAGTTCTTTTCTATAGCCCAATTTACCGTGACACGAAAACGTGAAAAACGTCCTGTTCCGTTCCGCTCTGTTCGCGTCGAGTCGCGTCGCGTCGTCTCGCCTCGCGCAATTACCGTACACCAACGATTGCTCGATAAAGTACGATAGACTGGCATCTATGTCGCAAGGGTCATGGACGGACAAACAGAACGAGGCTAACGGGATCCTCAAGAGGTCCTGGCTTGTTTCAATAGGTCCTTTTGGCCTCATTCTACTTTTCATCCAGCTCCTCCACCTACTAGCCGCTCGACTCGTTCCTCCTCACTGCAAACGTATGTATGTACGCGCGCCCAATTTTACCCGACATACCCTCGCTGAATATCATTTCTTTCGGTTAGGAACGAATGTCCGCGTTTAAAATAATACCGTAAAAATGGGAAAATAACAATTTATCGAGGAAAACATTCGGATACGTGACGGAATCGAATGAGAACGATGCAATTGCATCATTTCGTTACCGTTTATTTCACATCGTTCCGGTTTAATTCCAGTTAATACAGTTTAGCCAACGTGACGTCACAGAAATTCGAATATTAAACCGGGCGCTGCAATCGCTGCGAGTTCGTACAATTGAAAATATAACTTATTCAATTGCTCAATTATCGACAACAGTTCTAATGAATTGCAATCCGTTTTTATGTCGATAAAGTCAATGAAACTTCAATTAAATAAAAAAAACATGTATAAAATAAATGTTGCAATTTCTCTTTACTAACTTCCTAAATGCTTCAATTTAAAATACGTTTGACAGAGAGGAATGAATTTACGAGAAAGAATGTAAAGTAAAATGTATAATTATTTATTTATCGTGAAATTCACTCTAACCGTTTAAAATTTCGTGTTCGTGGTATTACCAAGTTACATACTTAAATGGCTCATTGGTTAATTACTTCGTTCTCGTTGAAACATATCCAAAAACGACATTTTAATTAGACATTAAATAATGTAAATCTTACTCGTAATATAAAGATTTCGTTATAATAGTTATTTAACGATTTGCGTAAAAAATATTTCGAGCTGTAAAGGTACGCCTTAATAACGAAATTCGTCGCGAAAAAATTACGAAATTCTCGGACTATTCTCGGATTAGGATAGTAAGTGAACCTACTTTTTATCGGATCATCTAGATAAATTAATAAAAAATATCCGATTAAGTATTTCTAAGACTATGTGCTACCAATATAACCCTTATCTGGCTCATTTTTTTACCTAACCTAACCTCTCCGACACTCCTTAACTATTTCGTTAATTTTTATATATTCCTATTAATGATCGTTTAAAACAATATTTTCTATGATACCAATAGAAACTTTATGTCAAACTGTAAATACTTTTTAATTACAAACATTCTTTATGAAATAGTGCACTGCATGCCTTCAATTTGTAATTTATTCTGATTTTATACCGCACAATATTTCTGCGTATATTAAACAGAGCGGCAACTAATCGTAACTTAAATAATCTAAATAACTGAAATTTTGGCATCATTTTTAAAAAACTTACATATAGACGCGCCAAAAAGTACTCCATAAACAGGCATCGTTTATCGCCATCCAAGTATCGATAAAGAATCTACCATAAAAGATATCCATAATAGAAGATTTATCGCTCTCACGACAATTGAAACAGATTTTTACAAGAAGTGCTCAAGTGCTATTTGATGTAATAACATCAAGTGTCGTTTAATCTAACGACTCTTGGGGACTACACTAAATAAAACTTCGTAATTAGAGTTAAGCGACTATAATCGAGACTTCCAGTTCATTTTCTCCAACGAATCGCGAAGCGCTAACACCTCCAAATTTCTCCTCTTTCTAAAATTCTCGGCCAATAGGAATTAATCTAGCTGATCGACGCAGCACAAGATTGGCTAATTCAAAACGTAAACAGTTCGTTCGATTTGACTCATCTCGATAAGATTTCAACGCTATTATCCACGCGATAAAGTTACAAAAGAGTAGCAGCGATTAGCGATTAACAACAATAACTTCAACGATTACTTACTTTTACCGATATCCTCTGCTGAAGTTTGTTTTGTGACTGCGATTGTGATGTTTTTGTTTTCGAAGAAAGGCTTGACACGTTCACAATCAGTCGACAACGCGGCCAAGTCCGTATTGTTTCTTGGTTGTTCGGCAAAACGCGGTGATCGAGATGTCACGAGACCAGTGCAACAGCATAATAATATCACGATCGACGACATGGGTGCCAGAATTGCACGGCGATGCCTCTGAATTATTTTCATTTTGGCAAAATGGCCAATCGACTGGACGAACGGGTGACAACGCGTCGTCGCGAAACCAAAAGAAAGAGAAACTGAAAAGAAATCGTACAACCCGGTACTCAAGTTCCGTAAATCGTGTTTGAACGTGTAAAATAGAAAGAGAGGAAAAGAGACGGAGCACGAGCAACGAGACGATTCAATTCCTCCTCCTCCTCCTCCTCCTCCTCCTTCCCCGTCGTCGCGTATTCGGCACGATCGTTCGAAGAGTCATCAACCGCGAGACAAGACGCGACTTCCTTTTTCTTCTTCGTTCTTCGAATCGGCCGCGCTGTCAAACGGCGGCACGGCGACAACGGGTGTTACTGGGAGATCTCGGGAAACGCGAGACGTGCATTTGGTGTGATCGTGATGGACGGACAGACGAGACGACGGCTATAGTAATCACGACGACGACGGCGACGACGATGATGATGACGATGACGATGACGACGACATGCACAGTCGAGACCGCGCAACACCGTGTTATGAACCGCACATATACACACGCAACCACTTTCGGTACACCACAATAATAAGCACACACATGCACGTACGTTTAACCGCACGCAAGCATGCATGCATGCACTACGCGACGCACGTTCCACGAGTAGCTCGATGCGACTAAAGTGCTGAGAACGGTACCGCGTATTCACAATTCGACCGACCGGCACCACTCTCCCACTACGCTCCCTCCGATTCGTTCGCTACCCTCTATACCCTCTCCCACCTAACTTTCAATCCACTGCGAGAACTGCTTGCCCACCTACTCGCTTACTTACCTACCCGAACGACACTCCTCATGCCCTTTCAACACGCATTGCTGCCACAGCTTCCTTTTTTTCTACATTTATTTTCATTTATTATAGACACGTGTAATAAAATAATAATAAAATTAGTTTATACTTTGTGCAAACTTCATAAGTTCAAGTCAATGTACAACTCAAAGTTTATCGTAATAACATATTAAATTTATCTATGGCAATTGGTATAAATATATAAAAATACTTTTAACCTTATTACTATCAGACAATATAAAAAAACAATGTTTGTCACGCTCAATTCGCAGAAAGTGAAATACTTAAATAAACGTAATTATCGTTCTTGTTTGATTCACTTGCCACACGTTCAATGCTTCATATTCTTCGATACAGTCGTTAATTTGATCAGGTTTAAATCCTTTACTGGTACATCGTTCCAACATATCTGATACTTTAACAGTTTTTTTATCACCTGCTAGTTCTCTAATAAGATGGAAAATTCGATTCATTGGATTTTGCTGGACATTTGTCAATGGTGTTTCGGAATAGTTAATAGAATGCTTAGACATCTCTATTAATCTATTCGCCTCATTGACATCCGCCTTTTCGACCACATTTGTTAATCTCAAACGCGCCAGTGCAGTCGACAAACGTAATAGTGCCAGTAAATTACGTGCAGATGTAAAAGTTTTGTCCTGACT